GTAGACCCAAGGGGATGCGGTTATCTGAAACCAGGGGGGGGGGGGGGGCGTCACGGCAGCCACGCAAACCCAAATTTGTACCGATGCCGCGATGCGCCCGTACTTGGGAGGCCTTTGAAACGCCTTGAAACATTGCATGTCGGGATGGACGTGAACCGACGATCAGTCGTAAAAACCCGCCAAAAAAAATGACAATGTCCCCCGTAACCGTTCTCACCTGAACGAAACAAATCTCTGCGTGGTCCTCGGCAGACTTCACCTCCGTGATGACGGCCAGGGACTTGAGGTCACTGGCCAGACTGAGAGTGCGACAGCTTCCGGAAACCTGCGTGGTCAAGTCAGAGATCGGGTTAGATTGGAATCCCCGAGGTCCACTCTTCCGGTTTAAGTTCATTCCAGCACATTTGAAAATGTCTCACTCCGGCTAACGTTGCAATCTTGTACATCCCGTAGGCGTAAAGCTCCACCTGACCGGCATCTCCTCCGAGGACGAGTATGTTCAGCCTACGTAGGAACAAACATATTTTAAAAACGGACAACAAATTCAACAGCAGTATTTCGCTTCGCAACACAGCAAGTTACCTGACTTCTCCGAGGAGGTTCATGATCTCGTCAGACTTCTCTTCACTGCATCAAAAAACACACCATGACTGCATGCAAATATTTGAAGGATGCTTTAAAACGAGTGTTGAAAATGGCTTCACCTGAAGAGCTTGGATGTTGTGCTGTAGCTGGAGAACAAAAAAAAGTGAGATCAGGTAACCCGAGCAAATGGTGTTTGTGATCTATTTGTCTTACCTCTTGGGGAGGGAGGCTAGTTTGGGCAGAAACAGCTTGGACTCATCCTCTGACTGATAAAAGGATCCGAGGGCGCTGGGGCGCATTAACATGAAGGCAAAACAGGAATATTTTCTAATTTGTAAGTCTCTTGAATGGATTATCCTTTGAGGACCCTCAAAAAAATCGCCTACCTGCATTCCTCTGTCACCTCCATCCAGTGCATGCAGCTGACGGGTTTCTGGGTGTGGAAGACATGCAGGATCTCCGCTTTCTCCACACTGCACAACACCACCTGCTTGGTGTCTCCAAGGCTGAAGGCCAGAACTAACCGATCAGGAGAAGAAAAGGGGCAGAAATTCGTCACCAGTTTTCCAAATACCGCATCTGACCAACACCACCAAAAGTAAACTAACACTAAAACTAATATAAACTCAAATAAAAGTAAGCATTCTCCATCAATAAAACTAGTCAAGTCACGCAAAAAAAAAAAAAAACACGTAAACCTAACTAAATTAGAAATACAAAGTCAAAACAAAATAAAAACAAAAGCTGATGACAAAACTATGACTCTATGAAATGGCATCAAGATGGTTCTGCCAATCCCAGTTGAAGTTTACAGTAAAACTGACACATCAAACAAAAGTAAATTAAACCTAACATTGGACTTAACAGTAGAGCGACACAAGCATCGCTCACTTTTGCCATCAGGTCTCCAGGCGAGTGAGGTGATCTCTTTTCCGATGTGCTCGCTGGGCGCCAGGCTCCAAACTCGATGGAAGCTGGCCAAGCGGTGCAACAGCAACTACAAAAATATATATAGACCAGAGACATCACGAAAACACAGCACAGTACAACATCCATATTTCAATGCTTCCTTATGCGTACCTCTCCAGTTGTGCTGGCCAGAGCGATGAGATCTCTTTTGGGCGACCAAGCCATACAGAGCACGGGGTTGGGAAGCTGCTTCTCTCCGACTTGCCGGAAGGCAGGCATCGTTTGGGCTAAGTGATGCAAAACAAAACAAAACAAAACAAGAGAAGTATTACACGATCAGTTCTCTTCTATTATTCTACAGTATTTGCAAGGCTGGCTAGATCCATCTCGCCAGCCGTAGTGTAAGAAAAACTGTTGCCGCGGTTCTTTTAATTTTTAACTTCGCTGTCCTTTATTAAATCAGGTAAAAACAATCGATGTGTGAACTGAGGGTGACAGTTTTCCAATTGAGAAGACCATACATGTACAATTTTCTGAGTTTAAATCAAGTTTTAGTCGAGTGAACTGAGCAATCTTACCTTTATTCTCCTCCAACGTTACGTCCAGAGTAAATTTTGATTAGTGAGATGAGATACGAGAAAGAACTTCGTTTTGACTTTTTCTATCAAGAACAGAACTCGCTCATTTATGTTACTTCGCGGGCAGCGCCATCTTCTTTTCCCATCGACCAATCATCGTGAAGCAACGGGTAGCGGGAAGAGACCCATTTGTTCAGAGAGGAAAAACGGAAATAATTTAACGGACTCTGTTTGGGGGTGAAAATCCATTAATACCTGCTTGCTAATCTAAAACTTAACTAAACGGTTTATTTTTCATTGCATGTGATATCTGATAAAATTAAATTACGTTTATTGCCAGCTATTAGCCATGCTGTGGTAGAGACGTCATAAATATGCGACACATGACTCGTGGTGACACACGCGACTCGCGGTGACACACACCGAGGAAAATAAGTATCCTAGTTTGTAGTTAGTGACACATCGCTACGACGTTAAAATGTGCAAAGTCCGAATGTTGAGAACGTTGGTGAAGCAGCGACTAAACGTGGCGCTCGAAGAGATATTCGAACTATTCGAAAGAACGATAGCAGAGTATGAGGAGGAACTTTGTCGAAGCAAAGAGGAGACCGAGCGACAACGCGAATTACTGGACTCTGTTTACAAGCCTCGGGCTGGGCTACAGAGAGCAGGTTTGTTTGCTGTTGCTCACATGGTCAAAAGCTCATTTTTCACACACCCAAAAAATCGACAGACCCGAGGTTTTAAAATTATGAGTTACTTCATCGTTTAACAATGTTTGCTTTGACAAATTGGCCTCAAATCCTTCTTGGACAGATTCTTACAATGTTTGTGTTTGTGTCTGTGCCTGTAGACATTCAACAGGTGCTCGTTGAGCCTCAAGATGAGGTTCCCTCTGACCATAAGCAGAAAGAATGGGGCTCCAATGTGGATGTTAAAGAAGAAGACAAATCAGAAGAGGACATGTGGAGCAAACTGGATGGGGAGACTGACGTTACTGCAGTCATGTTGACTGGTGTTGCTGTGAACAGTGAAGATGCCCAAGCTCAGTCCTCACAGCTTCATCACAGCGAGGAGAACACAGGCAGCAGCTCAAGTCAAAATTGTGGAGGATCACACCCAGACGACTGTGCTCCAATATCAGCTTTGGGCAACAGGATATCACAGTCTTCTGACACAGACCACGGTGATGACATCAAAAAAACTCTTAAAAGCGCTCATGGTGATGTCAATCCGTTTATCTGCTCTGAATGCGGGAAAGCCTTTGTCCAGAAGTTCACTTTGAACAGACACATGAGGATACACACGGGTGAAAAACCTTTCAGCTGCACAGTTTGTGCTCGGACCTTCTCCAGGAAGTCAGAAATGACCACTCACGTTTTGACGCACACGGGCGAGAAACCCTTCAAGTGCGCTGTGTGTGACAAAACGTTCTCCGTGAAGAAATACATGATGGCCCACATGAGGACACACTCCCAGGAGAAACCATTTGCCTGCTCAGTTTGTGGAAAACGTTTCTCGACAAAAGCGCATTTGAAGATACACACCAGGACACACACTGGGGAGAAACCTTTCAGCTGCGACGTTTGCAACAGGAGCTTCACAAGAAAATCGGAGATGATTACGCACATGGCGACGCACACAGGCGAGAAGCCTTTCGACTGTTCGGTCTGCGCCAAAAGTTTCTCGGCCCGAAAATATTTGATGATGCATATGAAGAGACACACAGCAGGGAAACCTTTTACCTGCACCGTGTGTGCGAAAAACTTCTCCAGTAAAGCTTATGTCATGATACACATGAGGACGCACACCGGGGAGAGACTGTTCAGTTGTGACATATGTGATAAAACATTCACATTTAAGACCCAGCTCAACAATCACGTGTGTACTCGGGACAAAAACAACAGTAATGACAACGCAAGACTTTAAATGTGACTTTCAAGTGAAGATCCGACACTTTGTGTATCACTCCGTGATCGTAATGGTCATAATAAACGACTATCATAATCACATCAGAATGTTCCTTTGTCTAATACATGTTATTTTACTTTTAGTACAGTCACTCACAGGTGCTTTGATTTATGAGAAGGGCTGAACGATTTAGAAAAATAATCGAATTGCGATTTTTTTTTGCCTTCAATATTGCAATAATTTGCAATTATTTTTGTCAACATCCTCTATCCTATTTTTTTTAACAAACACAAGCAATACGTTAATCTGAATTACAAGAACCATTATAATGTTTATTATTTATAAATGTTTTCATTTCATAGGTTTGGGCTAAAATAAAGATGAATGAAGCATGAATTATTATGAAGGACAGATTATGTACTTCAGTTAGAATTGTTACTTTACTGAATGAACATTTTGACTTGGGGTCTTTTAAGTCTTCACAAAATTCTACCAAACAAGTGAGGCATTAACATCGTCTGTCAGTAATTCATATATCAGTAATTCATAAATCAGATTACCAAATCAGATTACAAAAAGTAACACTTCTGTGGCTTTACCACTTCAACTTTTTCAAAACAATAAAAATCCAACGAAAAAGGATGAAACACAGCGTTGGCAGCATTGTAACACGGCTAACAAGGGCTCGCTACCTCAAAACCACCGAAGAAGAAAACAACGGAAGTTAGCATCGCGTCTCTCAGCAGCGAGCTAGCGTGACTGTGGAAAACAAAAATGTGCAAAGTGCAAATGCTGCGAGAGTTGGTGGAACGGCGACTAAACGTGGCCGTGGAAGAGATATTCGAACTGTTTGAGAAGACAATAGCGGAGTACGAGGAGGAACTTTGTCGATCGAAAGAGGAGAACGAGCGGCAACGCGAACTACTGGACGCTGTTTTCACGCCTCAGTCGGGGCTAGACAAAGCCGGTTTGTTTACGTTTTCGTCTTTTGTCGTGCACCAGCTATTCTTCTATTTGATCATTTAACACCGCCGCCTTTCGCTAAGTCGTCTGGTTGCGAGTTCTCATTGTTTGCGGTGGGCGCGAACACGTATATATAAAAACACGTCCAGGGCTATATCAAGCCCAAATTAAGTGTTACAGTGTCATAAAAACATAATTTCCTATCACTTTTCCAAATTAGTCAATACTGACACGGAAATGATGTGACGCGCATGGTAGATAAACCATCATCTAAACTTGTCAACATTATAGACTCGACTGAACAGCGAGATTGAACATGTCGTTTTAATTCGTCACAGCTTTTATATCGCAATGAAACGACTTTATAATGTATTTTGTCCTTTTTCTGTATCTCTTAGCATCGGATTATGAGTTAACAATTCACATAGAAAAAACCCCAACTATCAATCATGCACGCCAGTATCAGTGGCTGGCATCAGCAGCCCGATACATTGAATTAAGGCCAATAATATTCAGATACTGATCCCTAGTATCTGTTTGTTACGCGCCCATCCGTGGACGTCACTCACAATCTTTCTCTTCTGCAGATACTCACCATTTGGGAGAGGATCATCTCCCTGAACCCCAGCTAGAGCCAGCAGAGCCCCCCCACATTAAAGAGGAAGAAGAAGACGTGTGGAGCAGTCAGGATGGGGGGCAGCTTGTAGGTCTGAAGGAGGCAAATGTCACCACCTTAGCGCTCGCTGATTCCCCTGTGAAACGTGAAGTGAATGAAAAGAGAGCTCACTCTTACCAACTTCACTGCAGTCAAAGTGAGGAGAACAAATATGCCGGCGAAGCACCACAGGCACACTCCAGCAGCGCGCCACTGTCCGACATGGACGAGCGTGACGTCACATCATCCGAGACGGATCACAGCGACGACGCCAAAGGACGTTTGAAGCGTTTTACCGACGGCAAAGGTGCCGCTGCCCATCACGACGACAGACTCTTCAACTGCTCCGAATGCGGCAAGACCTTCAGTCGGAAGGGAACTTTGAACCGACACATGAGGACGCACACCGGAGAGAAACCATTTGCTTGCTCGTTTTGCTCGAAAATATTCTCTTTAAAGCATCACAGGGACCGCCACATGCGAATACACACCGGGGAGAAACCCTTTTCCTGTTTATTTTGCCCTAAAAGATTCAGAGACAGGTACAAAATGATGACACACATGAGAACCCACGCTCCTGAGTTACCAATTTCCTCCAGCCCACCAGCGACAACGAAAGCTGGCGGAGAACACTCTCACGCTCCTCGCTCACAACGAGACAACCCCGCTCCGCTATCAGACCTGGACGACGCCATGTCACACTCTTCCGCAAGCGAGCACGGCGACGACGCCGAAGAACCCGACTGTAATCCCAAGAAGTTCATGTGCTCCGAATGCGGGAAAATGTTCGGCCGCATGGGAAGTTTGAACCGACACATGACAACGCACACCAGAGAAAAACCTTTTGCTTGCTCCATTTGCGCAAAAAGTTTCTCTTTCAAGGAGCACATGAAAAGACACATGATGATCCACACGGGCGAGACTTCCGTCTCCTGCGGCGTGTGCGCAAACAGCTTCCGAGATAAGTGCGAAATGGTACTGCACATGAGAACGCATATGGGCGAGAAACCCTTTACGTGCTCAATTTGCCGCAAGGGTTTCTCCCGCAAGGACCATATGGTGTTACACATGAGAACGCACACGGGGGGGAATTTCACCTGCCCAGTTTGCCATAAAAGATTCTCCAGTAAAAAGTATGTGATGATACACATGAGGACACACACCGGGGAGAAGCCGTTCGGTTGCAACGCGTGCGATAAGAGGTTCACGTATAAGTACCAGGTGACCAGACACAAGTGTGTCAGCGGCATAGATTTAAATGCACCGGAAGCGAGATCCCAATCACTTTTGTTGAGCGATTAACTTGGGTGATGTGCAACACTCTTGATTTTTCATGAACAGACTTTTTACATCGACCAGAGACACAGCTATGATGTTCATAATTACCGTAAAATCCTGCAAATAACACACACTTGTGTAAAATACATGTCCCCACCAAAAAAATTTAAAAAAAATAGGCATGCAAGCATTTTTTTTTTTGTCTATGTACTTGTGTATAATACGGTCCCCCGATTTGCTGGCATCCTTTATTATCAGAGTGAATAATTTTAATTATTAAAGATTCAAAACATACCAACAAATTGTAAATGCTTTTAAATTCGGGTTCAAAACCACCCTCTTTTCCCATACCTTCTCTTTCAAAATCATCTTTTTGAGTGTGTGTGTGTGTGTGTGTGTGTGTGTGTGTGTGTGCGTGTGTGTGTGTGTGTGTGTGTGCAAAATGCTTCATATCATTGTAGGATACAGTCATGCATCAAAACTCAAACAAACGTGGAGTAAAAATTTGAAACATTCCACAATTTCAAGGGAAAAATATCAAATATATTTTATTTCATTCGATTACACTTTTGAACGTTTCCCATGCCATCTTATATTACTGTTATCATCAATACTATATATAAATTGACCTCAGTTCAGTACAGTAATAGTTTGTCCCCAATGGCTTACCGTAGATACCTTTTAAATATGGCGAGCTCTCAACGCATGCGCAGTAGTACTCACGACGTCGGAGCTAAACTTGTTAGCTGTAGGTCGCAATCGCGAAGGCTAAAATGTGTAAAGTCCGAATTCTGAGAAAGTTGGTGACGCAACGGTTAAACTTGGCTTTAGAGGAGATATTTGAACTATTTGAGCGAACGATAGCGGACTACGAGGAAGAACTTTGTCGAACAAAAGAGGAGAACGAGCGGCAACGCGAATTACTGACTATCGTTTACACGTCTGATGTTGTTTCACAGGAGGCAGGTTTGTGCACTTATTTAGTTTGGAAGATTCTTTAAGTATTTTTTTTAAAAATTGCTTATAGGTAACGCCCAGCCCTTTTTTGTATGACTGATTATTATACAGTAGTTGCTTTGTTTTTTTAAAAATACGATTGAATTTGTTCTAGTGGGCTTTCCGTAGATATCTCAATCACAGTCCTGTATCTTATTGGTTTGCCACAGTGGTACGTGAGTCATGATGCTTTCAAATTATTTCAAAAATCGTTTTTCTTATTTCCTACATTACTTTTATTTTTTTCGTCACACTGTACTGCTGTGACACTTGAATTTCCACATTCAGTATCTTTAATTTAATTTTTTAAATAAAGTATATATTGACACAAATGTCCCCTTTCTTAATCATGTGAGCATTCTGCTTGTCATGCAGACGTGCAGAAGGTGTTGGTGGAGCATCCAGATGAAGATATTGTTCCCTCTGAGCCGCAGGAACAGCCACCAGAGCCACACCACATTAAAGAGGAGGAGGACATATGGAGCAGTCAGAATAAGGAGCAGCTTCCCTTGCTGGAGGAGAATGATGTCACTGCGTTCACTTTGACAGGCGCCCATGTAAAGAGTGAAGAGGATGACGGTCAGTCCTCACAACTTCGTCACAGTCAAAGTGAGAAGTTAGATCAACACATCACGGTAGGGGAATGCTACACAGGCCCACAATCACAACCAGATCAATTAGCTAAACTGTCTGATATGGACGACATGATGTCACACTCTTCCGACACCGATCACAGCGACCGCACCAAAGAACCTTTGAAGAAAAGCTCCGAAGGTCATAGGATGCGTCACGCTGACAACAAGCACTCCAACTGCTCCGAATGTGGGAAAAGGTTTGTCCACAAAGGAGCTTTGAACAGGCACATGAGGACACACAGTGGAGAGAAACCGTTTAGGTGCACCGTATGCACCAAAGGCTTCTCCTTGAAGGCCAACATGAAAAGACACATGGCAACCCATTACGAGCCGAGCAACGGCTCGACCTGCCACGTGACGACCGTTCAGTTCGGCTGCTCCAAATGCGGGAAAATGTTTGGCCAGAAGGGCAATCTGATCACCCACATGAGAACGCACACCGGAGAGAAACCTTTTGCGTGTTCGTACTGCGACAGAAGATTCCACACGAAGCTTCACGTGAAGAGACACACGGCCATTCACACCGGCGAGAGACCCTTTTCCTGTTCGTTTTGCGGGAAAAGTTTCCGGGAGAAGTACGACATGATGAATCACACCAGGACCCACACTGGTGAGAAACCTTTCACCTGCTCCTTGTGTGCCAAGGGTTTCTCTCGAAGGTCATATCTGAGAATACACATGAGAAGTCACACTGAGGAGAAAGCTTTGAGCTGCGGCAAATCCGCTCAACACGTGACAACAGAAGCTGATGAAGAACAATGTGAAGAGCTCCAGACACAACCACAAAACTTTGCTCCACTTACAGATATGGACGATAGGATATCGTACTCTTCAGACACTGATCACGCTGACGACCACAGACATCATGTGCAGTAGCTGTGATTGGTCAGCGTACCCACCATACTCCATGTGGCAGATCGGCCCATAAACTAGGTCTGGATGATTCTGAAAAGTAATCTAATTGTGATTGTGTGTTGGTCTTACGTCATCAGCTTACATGCAAGGTGCAGCTGGTACTGCTGCAATTATACCTCCAAATGCAACCTCCAAATGCAGCAGACAGAATTTTGAGTTTTGCACCTTCAGTGTATTGCCACGTTGTGCCACAACAAACAGTTTATTTCTTTTCGTCATCATGTTGTTGTTGTTTTTTTAATACACACTAACTGAAAGGCTTCGAAGTCAGCTGACCACTGTGTTTGCATTTCAAAGAATGCGCCTCCCTCAAGTCACTTTTTAACGTTGTGGAAGACAGACCAAAAACAACCACCCCAAGCTCTTGTTGAACAAATAATCCATGGTCAAATACGTGAGGAACAGAGAAATTATGTGTGAATAAAATAATTTTGCATTGAATAAATTTTTTTTTTACAATGGAATAAAATGAAAATTGTAAATGTGAAATGTATTGAAACAGTCATTTCATAATTACACAGTGGAAAAGTGACATGTAATAAGATAAGAAAAGATATGAAAGGAAGAAGTAGAACAACAAAATATCGGAGCTGCTGGAAAGGCAGCCACTCTCGCGGCGCCATTTTGAAGTCAAAATAAAAACAACACAACACATCGGACACAAGACAGTCGTTAATGAAGTAAAATATAAATTCATTAGATATTTATTACATTTTTAGAATAACAGGATTATATGAAATAATTTGAAAATCTGAACACGTTTGTAAAGTTAATTTTCATTTTACTTCATGAAAGTACACAGGTTCAAACTCTGAGTCGATGGAGTATTCAGTACAGAAAAGTAGGTGGCGGTAGTGAGCTATTATCGTCCGTGAACTGCCGTTAAAAGCAAAGGAGTACGAGGACGAAGAAGAAGAGGAGCCCGCTGTGTCCTTACCTTAACTTGGACGGTTGGATAGCTGTTCGCCGTCGCTTTTGTCAAGGAAGAGACACACGTTTACGTGAAACATGTGTAAAGTCACAATGTTGAGGGAGTTGGTGAAGCTTAAGCTACACGTGGCCGTCGAAGAGATCTTCGAACTGTTCGAGAAGACGATTGCGGAGTACGAGGAGGAATTCCGTCGAAGCGAAGAGGCGCGCAAGCGTCGGCGTTGTGAGGAACCAGACGCCGTTCTCAAACCTCGTGCTCGACTGCGAAAAGGTACGGTTGTCCCCACATCCTCAGGTTCACACTGTAAGCTTTCTTGAGCCAACGCGCTCGTCGTTGTTGATGAAAGCAGATGTCACTTGTGAAAAATGATCAAGTGAAAACCGGGGTATTAGCATTATGGACAATCAAGAAAGAAACCGCAAACGGGATAATGACTAAGCAAATATCCCCCCCCCTCCGCCTATTGAAGGAATAATTGTTTCCAAGTTATCATACGTTTGCTAGTAATTAATCGTTTGCAGCGAAGAAATGCTTCTGCTTTCAATGAAGATATGATCGCAACGAAGAAATGCTAACGCTCTTCTAGCTATGCTCATGCTTGCAACAAAGAATGGCTTTGGTGGCTTTGGTGTGTGACAGTTAGGGGGCACAATCATATTTCCAAGAATGTGGTCGGAAAGAAGTTGGGAAGGGGTGTCGAGCTCATTTTTGCCGCGAGCCACGTTGGAGTTACATCTTCCCTCGGAGGGCAGACCGTGAAACCAAATGAATCGTCTCATAGTATTATTACTTGTACACTACAAGATAAGAAAACCTTTATTAGTCTCACAATGGAGAACTTCCCAATTCACAGCAGCAAAGTTATGAAAGGAAGAAGTAGAAGAACAAAATATATCAGTGCTGTAAAGGCAGCCACTCTCGCGGCGCCATCTTGAAGTCAAAATAATAGAACCCAACACATAAGACACAGACAGTAATTCAATCTTAACCACTTTTCTGCATCCTCTTAGTTGTATGAAGCTGTTATCAATGAAAGAGGAGAGGATCAAAGTGTCCTTTCATCAGTGGATCAGGGACGTCATGCTGAAAATGTGCGCACGTCTGCTACAAGCTAAGTTTTGAAAGCAAACGCGAAGCTGTAGCGTCCGTTCACGAAAAGAGATTGGCTCACATCTCCTGTCCCACATAATCTGCTTCAATTCTAAACCGCGACTCCGAGTACCACACACGCATCGGCGCTCTGCGCTGACGCTCCTTTCTTCTCATCGTCGGTTCTTCAAGCCTTGCATCCATCCAGCCGCAGACCGTCCAACAGCACCGACCTCTCCGCTGAACAAAGCGGGGCTATGAAAAATGCTGCCCATGACAGGCCCAAAAAAACACAACGCCACCCCCGAAGATTACGGTTTAAATTGGATCAAGTCCTGGGAACAAATTCCGGATTCAAACACTAGATGGCGACAGAGTGAAATAAAGAATATATAACCGCCAGCTCTGCAAGCGCTTGCCTTTACATCTTAATTTAAAGGCAATTCATATCTGATCCTGTACTTTATATCATCAATCCTCACTTGACGGGGCGCACGACCTGATATTCCGACAGCTGTAAAAACGAAGTGGTCACTTGTTAATTTTTAATTCTGTGTGGTTACTCGTTAAAGACAAGGTGAGTGACGGGAGACCGGATTGACTTGGTAAACGCAAAGGCGGTTAGCACTAGAGGTGTGATCTGAAGCCCGATCGGGTCAGGCCTAAAATGTCAATCATTGCTTCGGGTCGGGCCGGGCTTCTCTCTCAGATTCTGAAAATTGTCGGTTAATGTACCCGCTGCAGAAACAGAAATATAAAAGATGTAAATGTTTATACAGTCTTGTTTAGCTTAGATTTCGTTACAAAAGACAGGCTTTAATTTATCAAAAATCACCCCTCCTCCTCCCGAGTCCTCACAAATAAAATATGAAATATATGAAATTTCGGGTTTGCTTCGGGCTCGGGCCTGCAAATCAAGTTAATTGGCCGGGTCGGGCTGGATTTTTTTGGCCCGATCTTACCTCTAGTTAGCACACACAGGCGAATTCATCTCCACGCCGGGTTAAAAGGCATCCCCGTCCCCTCGCTCCACTGCGTTGTCGCAGGCGAGGGGGGAGCCAACGCTCCATCGCAGGTTACCCCTCCCCATTGACCGCGATATGTTAGAGAACACTGTAGATTTTCATTCATTTTGTTTCATTCATTTGTGTCATGCAGGTGTCTGTCCTGTGTCAGAGGATAGTGAGGAGGAGGAGGAGGTCCCCTCGGAGGAACGGGGAGAGCCACCAGCAAAAAAAACGATGACCGAGGAGAAGATGACGCTCAGGACAAGTCAACGCAAGACAACACAAGCGAATGGGGAGCGCTGTGAAGATCCCCACTCTCCACCAGACTACTTGGCTCCCATCTCTGACACGGAAGGCATGGCTTCAGACTCCGACAACATTGATGACGTTCGCCGTGCCAAACAGACGAAGAAGAAGTCGAAGTGTCGCGAATGCGGCAAAATGTTTGCCCGCAGGGAAGATTTGGATAGACACGCGAAAACACACACTGGAAAAAAACCTTTGAATTCTGCAGCTGTCACTCAACCGTCCGAAGCCGTTCGATCTTTTACCTGTTCAGTTTGCAAGAAGTGCTTCCGGAGTCAGGACAATCTCAACTCTCACTTGAGAACACACACCAAGGAGAAAGCGGTCCCCTCCGGTAGCTCGAGTCAACAAGTGACACCAAGAGCCGGCGGACAACGCGGGAACGATCTTCACCCTCAACAGGACCACTTGGCTCCGGTTTCAAATACGGATAACGTGACGCCAGCCTCTGATCGCGAACGGGACGCCAAAGGACCTTCGGAGAGAAAGAAGTTGAAGTGTTCTCGCTGCGGCAAAACATTTTCCCGCAAAAGAGATTTGAAGAGACATGCGAGAACACACACTGGAAATCAACCTTTGAATGGCGCCAAACCAGCCGACGGAGCCAAATCTTTCACCTGCTCGGTTTGTACGAAAAGCTTCACCAGCAGAGACCTTCTCATATCACACATACGACAAGCACACACCGAGGAGAAAACGGTTGCGTCCGCTAGCTCGGGTGAACACGTGGTGACAGAAGGTAAAAGCAACCACCTTCAGTCACAACCAGACAAGTTGTCACCGGTTACTAAACCATCCGACGGAGTCGAATCTTTCCCCCGCTCGGTTTGTACGAAAAGCTTCACGAGCGGAGACCTCCTCATCCCACACATGCGAGCGCACGAAGAAGAGAAACCGGTGGCCTCCGCTGGCTCTGGTCAACGCGTGGTGTCGAAAAGCAAAAAGCTTCGGTCACTACCAGACAAGTCGGCACCAGTCGCTAAACCATCCGGCGCCGATGAATATTTCGCCTGCTCGTTTTGTCCAAAAACTTTCATGACTAGAGACTTCCTCATGTCACACGAAAGAACGCACAACGAGGAGAAACCGGCGGCCTCCACGAGCTCTGGTCAACTCGCGGTGACAGAAAGGCAAAAGCTTCACTCCCAACCCGACAAGTTGATGCCGGTCGCCAAACCGTCTGACGCTGTTCGATCTTTGAGCTGCTCAATTTGTATGAAAAACTTCTCGAGCCGAGATCTCCTCATGTCACACGTACAAGCGCAGCACAACAAAGAGGAACCGGTGACCTCCAGTATCTCTCCTCAACACGGGACGACAGAAAATAAAAATCTCCATTCTCAGCCGGACAAGTTGGCAACAGTTACTAAACTGAGCGAGGTTGAGAAATATTTCACCTGCTCGTTTTGTCCAAAAATCTTCACGACGAGAGACTTTCTCAAGTCGCACGAACGGACGCACACCGAGGAGAAAGCGGTAGCCTCCACCAGCTCAAGTCAACGCCGCGTGTCGGAAAGTAAAAAGCTTCATTCGCTCCCAAACAAGTCGGCACCGGTCCCTAAACCGTCCGAGGCCGATAAATATTTCAACTGCTCGGTTTGCTCGAAAAGCTTCACGACTCAAGACTTTCTCACGTCGCACTTACAAACGCACAAAGAGGAGAAAACTGGCTCCCGTCGAAGCCTTGCGTCAGGCGGTAAAAAGCCGCGCTCACAACCAGACAAGTTGCCACCGGCGGCGGACAAGGATGACGTGACTTCAGACTCTTCTGACTCCGACAATGGGGGCAAAGGATCTTTGGACACGAACAAGAAGTGCTCAGAAAACGGGGAGATGTTTGTCCGCAAGGCATATTTGGACGATCACACGAAAACACAAACTGGAAAGAAAGCGCTCAATCGCGCAGGTGTGACTAAACTCCTCCTGAGTGTCAAATCTCTTAACTGCTCAGTTTGTCCGAAAACCTTTGTGAGTAAGGAATTACTCGTTGCACACATGCGAGTACACAAAGGGCCGACCTCCGCTCGTCCAAGCGGGTACGTGACGACGGAAGAGAAGGGAGATCACGGTGAAGGCGTACAATCCAGACCTGAGGGCCTCTTGGCTCCGCTGTCGGATTCGGACTTGACGTCGGACTCGTCTGAAGATGATCCCCGTGACAACGGCGTTTCTGTGATGACTACTCGGAACTCTTGACGGCGAAGAACGCGGCAACAAACAGTCTACCGAGAGACCGAAACCTTTTTTTATTGTTCAGTTGTCAAAAATGATTTGACCATACGAGCCATTTGAGCCAACATTTGGTTGTGCACACTGTCGAGAAACCTTTTGCTTGCTAATTTTGTTTTGAAAAGTTCCATTTTCCTGAGACTATGATGATGCATGTTCAATTCCTGTCGTGCCAAGGGGTCTGAACTTTGGGTTATGAAGCATTTCAAAAATTTTACCTGAGGAGTTTTATATTTAGTCTGTATTTCGACTCATTCATTGCCAGTGACGTGCATAGACGTCAAAAGATATATATATATATATATATATGTGTGTGTATGTATTTTTAACTGGGCTGGTCGTGAAGGAGTTGGTGGCCATAATAGGGAGGAGCACTATAGCAAATGGACAGATACTGTGGTGTCGCGCCAAATTCTGCTACCCCTCCCATACCATTCATTGATTGGCTCTGCCAAATAAGACATTACAATTGTAGCTCCATGACTTTCAAGGCTGCCTGAAATTGTTCCTGGCCCGTTCCCGGAACAACTCTTATCTGGACTTTCCCCGGATGAAAAACTTGACTTCACGTCCACGTGCGGCTGGCCTTGCGTTTTTAGAATAACGCCACCGATGTGTTTTGCCCACCACAAATTCCATCCCAATTCTCGGTATTGCGTGGATTCTAGTTAGACATGTCATTCTCTCGGTTGTGCTTCCTCCTTTTTGCGCTGTATGACTGACCGTGTTTGTGTTCCACTGTTTTCATAAACCTCAATTATTTGTTAGCTGTAGTTTAGTCAATAAATTCTTCCTTTCCTAAGAACCTAGTTCTATGTTTTGTGTTTGTTGAAATAATGTTCCCTCTGTATATGGAGTAAAGAAAGTCCCAATTTTGTGTGGCAGACGAAAGACATTTTCCCAGTTTTTATGAAAATTGCAGTGGTCTGCTGGGGTAAATTTTAAACTGGCGTATTTAAGTGGTTATATTATAAATTTGTGAGATGAATTGGCAATTACAATAATATCATGCTTCAAAGTTTTACTTCTTGATATTCCTGTTAAGACATTTTGCTGAATCCATCCACGCAGTTTCCAGCTTCGGTCGAATGTGCCACACATTATGTGAAGAAACAGGAAGCTATTAGCAGAGGAAACAGGTTACAGTGTAACAGCTAGGTTACAGATACAGTGTGAGGAAAACAGAGCAGGAAACAGGATGCCGACTCAAGATACATAAAGGCGCAGCGTGCAAACAAAAGGAAGGGACTGTTATTGTCTTGTGTCTGAACCCGTGAATAACATGTTGCTTGAACTCAATAAAAGGCAGAGAAGGAAGAGCGATCACGAGAGTGTAGCCTCTGCTGCCATCCGTGAGCAGAAAGTCAATATTGGCTGGTGCGAGTTACTTGTACAGTCCTGAAACAAGGCTTGTCTTGGTCTTGCTTTGTGCACTTCCTGGACAAATTTATGTTTTATGTCATCTCTTTGCTACGGAGACTCAGGGGAGACAAACTTGGTGAAAGTAATTCCTCAAGATGAACGTTACAGCCTCCGTAAGACTTGGCGTTGCTTTTCTAAAAGTGCCTCGAGGAAGTCGTTGAAGTCGTCTGGAGTGAATTGTGGACACTCATGCACGCGCTTCGAGTTTAAGGTGGAATTCTACACAATGTTCCTCGAGGGTAACTGCTGCGACACACCACAGAAGCACTCGTAGGGGCGGAGTTGGCTGACGGCGGGGGGCGGGATAAACGACCCGCGCATGCGCCGTGTGGTTTGTGTTCCGGTGAAGGGCGGAAGTGAGTCACCGCAAACTAGAGAGCTGTCGTCATTGTGTGAAAATGTGTAAAGTTCGAATGTTCAGGACCTTGGTGAAGCAGCGGCTAGACGTGGCCGTCGAAGAGATTTTCGAACTATTTGATAGAACGATAGCGGAGTACGAGGAGGAACTTTCTCGCACTAAAGCGGAGAAAGAACAGCAACGCGAGCTACTCAACGCTCTCCTCAAGCCTCACGTTCACGGTGCATTGCACGATGCAGGTTTGTTGACTATTTCTCACGTGAAACGATTCCGTTTGCACGATCTGTTGAACAGTCGTGTTGCAATACAAATGCTTTTAGTCGCGTTTTATTGTCGTCCACCTTCATGAAGCGTTGGAAAATCAATGTTCAAGTTGGTCAAAAATACGTTGCGGGCACGACGCGTGTAACGTGCGCACGAAATACAAATTTTGAATAACACAGACATAGTTCACGAACAGTATAAAAATACAGATTCACAACAGTGAGTAAAAAAAAAAACACAACAAAAATTAAATACTTTGTGTTCACAGTGATGTAGTCGGTGTTGACTGTAATGTCCAAATGTAATTTGTGGCCACTCCATCCCTGTTTTCTTTCCATGCGCGGTGCAGAAATGCAGCATATGAAAATACAGATTCACAACAGTGAGTAAAAAAAAACAACAACAACAAAAATTAAATACTTTGTGTTCACAATGATGTAGTCGGTGTTGACTGTAATGTTCAAATGTAATTTGTGGCCACTCCATCACTGTTTTCTTTCCATGCGCGGTGCAGAAATGCAGCAGGAAGCACCAGCAGAGCCTCCTCACATTAAAATGGAAGAGGAGAACGTGTGGAGGAGCCAGATTGGGGAGCCGCCTCAAGAGCTGAAGGAGGAGGCCGATATCAAAACATTTACGTTGACCAATGTCCAAGTGAAGAAGGAATCTGATCAAGATCAGTCCTCACAGCTTCCCCGCGGTCAAAGTGAGATGATGTGCGATGAACACATGGCAACGGAAAATGACGGCGAACACAGTGGAGGATCACAACCGGACTTCTTGGTTCCGCTCTCAGATGCGGACGACATGACATCGCACTCTTCTGACACTGATCACAGCAACCCCACCAAAGACCCGGTGAAGACTGAAAAGAAGTCCCAAAGTAATATAACGAATCGCGCTGATCAAAAACTCTTGCAACTGCTCTGATTGTGCCTGCTCTTTTACGTAGACGTGAACGAGGATCTTTTGACGTTCATGCACCAGCGCAATAAATCGAGGAAGAATCTCTCTCAGATGGAGCGAGAAAAGGTAACTCAATGCGCTTACGCACACACGCACGCTAAACTGTGCTTTAAGTTTGAGACCCAGTAAACCACATACATATTGTTTTACAACAGTACCTAACAATATTTATAATTCCATATACAATACATCTTTATTCATACACGTACCAATGGATGGAAAAATAAGCATGCAGTCTTTTTTTTTTCCCCACCTTGACTTGACTGCGTGTCTGCTTGCGCTGCGCGTGACATAGCGAGTGCATTCTCGACACCGATTGGCTGTCGCCGCTGCCCCACCACCAAAAGTTGATTTCGTCTCATCACAACTAAATGGGCGAAGGAGCAATGTTTTTTTTTCTTTTTTTTTTTTTTTCGCTTGAAACCTGACCCCAGCATGGAACCGCGCCTGACCGCTCGAACTGCATTGACCATAGATGGAAACGCGCCGGCAGAAATGCTCAGCTTGCCTTCGGTGTGACTGCACCGAGTCTCTGCGCGACACGCTACCCCCGGAGGAGCCGGAGGAGATGGAGGAGACGGCATGGGACCAGGACAATGCCGAGGGCATCCGGGAGCTCAAAGGCTACCTCCAGAACTGCGAAATGTAAGAAAATCTCATTTTTTAAATATTTTGTTTGACCAGGTTGCATCATTTAATTAAGTGTATTTCGCCACTCGCCAGTTCATCACGTCGTGACCGATTTGCGGAATTTTCTTTCTAGGTTTTTTGTCTTTTCAAAGTTGTTGAAAACTGAAGGCAAGGGCAAGAAAAACGTCTACACTGGCTCGGCTAAGTGCATGCAGCCTGGGTGCAAAAACAAGGGTGTGACCTTTACCTCAATTTCCAGAGCCCATCTTAGCATGCACTATGAAAAAGTGAGTTCAAACTTTAAAGTTGAACATTCCTTTTGATTTAAAAACACTTCGAGGTTCCTACTTTGGTACAGAATAAATATAAAGTAGAAGTTATGAAATGAAGTTTGGAAAGAATAATAATATCATGAGCATTATTTCCCCCCCCCCCCCCCAAAAATAGGTTCACCCTGGAAAAAAGGCCGCGCTTATGGCCGCCTTGGCCGGAAACAGCCGGCGTGGCGGCCGTGGCCAGGCCAAGGAGCGACGTTCCAAGAAGCACCAATTGAGCACCTTGGAGGAACCGGTCAGGGACAAGTTCAACCAGGACAAGGCCAGGCAGATGTTCACACGGTGAGGAACAATCATCTTTTGGTTTTGCTGAAGTACCAATTTCATGTCTATGTCACGCCGCTCATTGCATGCATTTTCTTTTTTTTTTTTCTTCTTTTTTTGATGATAATGAAGGTTTTGTCATTCGCAGATGGTTTGTGGAGACGCTTTCCCCGCTGGGCCTTTGTGAACACCCCTACACCAGGGAGCTGTTTGCCTACCTCAGTCCCGAGTTCCAGCTCATGTCCCGGAAGATCCTGGCGAGGGGTCTGGATGAGCTGATGCACAAGGCCAAGCTGGAAGTCAACAACCTGCTCAGCAAGCAGAAGTGGGTGGCAACCACCGCTGACTGCTGGACGGTGCACAGCCGGTAAAAGTATTTCGAGTTCATCCAATACTATACTTGACATATGTATATGCTGATCATAAATACAATATTCAATATACAGTCTACTTATGAATGTCTCGTCATACGAAATTTTCAAGTTATGAAACGCCTCTTGTTACGAAAGAAATTTCAAGGTCCGAAAGGTAAAAATACAGAATGGCCTTCTACTCACAGCTCCGAGTTTCCTGAACGCGACATACTTAGAGCTGCTCTGCCATTGGCTGTTAGCTAGCATCATCCTGGCATCCCATTGGCTAAGATGGGACCTCTACCGAATGTGTCTATGTCTGTCGATAGGTAGAATGTGTCAATGCGGCGTCCTCGTCATTCGCCCCTCGGGCCATGAGGCGGTCCGATAGTTTGACGTAAATGTGAATCACCCAGAAAAAAAGTGTTCACCAGTCGGGCGATCGCTCACCATGCCGATGTTTGCCTTGGACATGTTCGAAGCAAAAAAACGACAAGGACGTAGTTGAAAGTTACATGACCATCATTTTTATTCTTTACTCTAGTCATTGTTTTTTACGTTATGCACAATTCTCTTTTTATTGTGCAATAATCGAATTATAACATGTATTTGTTAAAAATTTTGATGCATTTTTATGCTTTTGAAAACATTTATGTCTGAATTTTGGGGGGGCTTGGAACGGATTAGGGAATTTACATGGAAAACACGTCTCGACTTACATTTTCTAGTTAAGAAATGTCTTCCACGACCACTTAATTTTGTAAATAGAGGCACCACTGTCCGTAAATGACCGATGTTTTTTTTTCACAGAGCCTTTCTGGGCATGACCGTGCACTGGATCGACCGGCCCAGCCTGGTAAGGAGGAAGGCAACTCTGGCATGCAGGGAGTTGAAGGTAAAAAATGAAAAGAGATCACGTTTCAGTTTAAAAAAGCTGATATTGATTTGAATGATTTCACTGAGGCACTCGGATAAAATTTTTAAAAAGCTCAAATGGGTACTGAATAAATTGGTTCCAACAGCAGCCACGCATCTTTTTCTTCGGTCAACCAGACAGATCAGCTCTTGGCCGAGGTCATCCGTGACGTCCACCAGGAGTTTGGCATTGTCAAGAAGGTGGTCGCCACCACCACAGACAACGGCACAAACTACGTCGCGGTCCTCAACGCCTTTGGGGAACCGCAGGAGGAGGATGAGGAAGTGTTGCCGGGACAGCCGGGCGACGTCCAGGGACACCTCGACGGCGAGGACGTTGACGCCGAGCCCCGGGTCGCTCTGCCGCCTCACCGCCGCTGTAGGTGAGGAATTGGAAGACGTTTGGAAATGACCGCAGGAAAACGTCAGACGTTATCCAGAAAGTTGGTCACAAAGAGAACTTTGTGTTTCTTTGGTTTCAGTGCGCATACCCTGAACCTCATGGCGACCACCGACATCAGGGCGGTCACGGGCTGGAGCGTGGGGGACACGCCCTGGTGCGAGGCAACCGCCAAGGCCCAGCATCTGTGGAACCTCCAGAACCGGATCCCCATTGCCGCCAATCAGATCAAGGAGGCTGTCAACAGGAAGCTCCCAACTCCTCTTCTAGTAAGGCAAGTTGGAAGAAATGATTACGTTCAAATTAAATCGCCAACGCTAATATCTTAATATTTGACTTTGGGATTTTTTTTTTTTTCTTGATAACATCCAAACGACAATTGACCATATTTTCCACTATATGGCGCACCGAAAAGCATCCAATTTTCTCCAAAGCCGACAGTGCGCCTTGTAATCCGATGCGCCTTATATATGGATCAATATTCTGATTTCTTGGATGTCATATTTTAAATGTTCCGTGAAGCGCTTTGTTCCAGCTGCAGCGGTTGTGAAAGCTCGATATAAATAAAGCCGTATTGTATTGTATTCCCTTTAGCGTATCTCCATCTAGTGGATGCGTAACATAACTGCAGCCGCTATTATAATTCGGTGCACCCTATATAAGATAAGAAAACCTTAAATAAACTTACAATGGAGACATTCCCAATGTACTGCAGCAAAATTATGAAAGGGAGAAAGTAGAGAAATGTGTTTATTTCTGCAGGTGGAACTGTTACTTCAATAGTGTGAAGGTGCTGTTGGAGGTGATGTCACTGCCTGAGCAGGTGGAGGCCATCAACAACATCATCGTTCACCAGCCTAGCGGCAAGGCCGGAGCAACCATTCTTGATCGGGACATCAAGGTATGGGGAGGGTAAAAATGAGATTCATTTATACATATATTAATTCGGCAAAAGTCGGAAAGCTAGCAAGCGTTCTTCTTTATAGTTCATCTTATATTTATGGGTCGCCTGGTTGCCCGCGGGGGCTGGGCGATAGGTTGTTATCGGATCGCGTTTTATAGCATTACACAACCATATTTATGTCATTTCACAATGGATGAAATAATGGAGTTTATTGTAAAAATGATATACGAGCAGCCAGCATCAATTGCAATATAGCCACACTCGCCCACGTTCTATTTCCGGAGCAACGCAAGTCTTCTTTGACTGCCACGATGTTCTTATAGATTACAAAAATACATTTAAGACATCATACAAGGCAACTTAACGTAGGTTTTGGCCACGGTCGTAGTTAGCCCCACGTCTGGTTACCTTTTTGAACTTTCCAGGTCCTGACAGAGTACAGGGATGTCATGAAACCCGTGGTGGACACCCTGGACAACCTGCGGGGGGAGGACAGCGCCTACATGGGCGTCCTCCTGCCAACGCTCCTGGTCTTGAAAAGGTGGCTGCTGCAGCACCAGCAGAGGGGTGAACTGCAGTACGCAGAGCCCCTGGTCCAGTCCCTCCTCAGGGGCTTTGAAAAAAGGTGTGTGTGGGTGTTTATGGATGTATATTTGTACAGAGAGACAGACTGATATCGACGACTTTGTTTTCACCTTTTGACACTGACATTTGTGTCAGAGATGTTCACTCGGACAGTTGAACAGAGGCTCGACGACGCAGGAACAGATGGACTTTCACTGCCGGCAGGAGGCGCAGTTTTCGATGAAGCCACTCTAGTGCGCGCTTGTCAACTGACACCCGGCCTCTGCAGCCTCTGCCGGCTTTTTATTGATCGTGTATGCAAATTACAAGTGATGTATCAGAAAAACACTCCCTTCTTCATTTACATACCATGCCCCTGGACGGCCCCTACAGGTCGCCCTTCAGTGAACCCCTAAAGGCCAAGGCATTCCCTTGGTACAAGCACCCACATCCATAAACCAACAGAAACGTCGACATTTTAACGAGTGGCCTTTCCATGAAGTGATACATCTGTAACCTGGCTAGTGACCTTTTCTCATGATGGAGCGTACCGAGTACGCCCGAAGTTAAAACTTCCTTTCCGAGTTGTCAGTTAACAGGCGCCTGTGGGGTCTATTCACCTCAAATTGACCCCTGATTCCCTGTGCTCCATTGTGTACATGCTGTATGAACACCACACGCGTTCGAGGTCAATCAATCGTGTTAACAAAATGAACTTTTAAACAGGAGAACATTGTGTTTGCCAATTCCCCATCACTCATGTATAGGTTTGGCTCCCTCTTTGAGGACCAAGACCTGCTCATGGCCTCTGCCTTGCACCCCTCCTTCACACCCGCCTTCCTGGCGAGGATTGTCCCCGAGCAGGCTGACGCCATCAAGGACAGGATCCTCGGCGAGCTCAAAGCCCTGGTGAGCGACGTGCAGCAGGAGCAAAATGTCCGGCCTGCCGTGAAGAGCCACCAGGACAGGGTTTTCAAGTAAGAGCTCATGTTTAACTTCGCCATTTTTTTTAAAACCATTAAATGGTTATTCAGTGATTTACCCCCCCCAAAATGTCACTCAACCACTCATGCTGATGACGGAACAGGGAGCTGTTTGTCGGCGACCACGATGTGGTGCTGAGGGCCAGCATCCAAGACTGGAAGCCCCAGCGGAAAGCCCTCTCCTGGGCCCTCTTCCCCAAGGAGCACAGGGAGGCCTGGGTCGACTTGTTCATCAAGTACAACACCCCGCTCCCGAGTTCTGCGGCCGTGGAGAGGACATTCTCCACAGCCGGCGACGTCCTCAGGCCGAAGCGGGCCGCCCTGGCCAGTCCCGACTTCCAGAACTTGGTGTTCCTCAAGGGGAACATGTCTCTGTTGGGATACCCCAGCTACAAGGGACAGTTTGCCGAGGAGGAACAGGAACAGTATTAGTTTTTTTGTTTATTTTTGGCACGTGGTCCAACTGTTTCTCAATGAATGAAATTGTGTCCTACTACCCTTGAAACTTTTTTTTTTTTTTAACTGATGGTCCTAAAATAGCAGTCACAGTTAAAATAATGAGGACTGACGTTTTTTTTTTTTTTTTTTGGTTAATAAAAATTACACTAAATTGTCTTCTTGCAAGGAGAACAATGAAGCTTGTAGCTTAGGCAGACAGCCTAATTTTTTTTTTTTACCCCCCCGCCCAAAAAAAAAAAAAAAATCCAGTGCAATGTAGTTTTCACATTTTAAGTACAGTACAATTCAGTTGTATATAACTTTTTTGGGTTTGTTTCTGAACATATAACATTTTTTGATATAACTGTTAGGTTCATTCCTTTTGAATTTGAATTAAGTCCATTTTTTTACAAAATATTTTACCGGTACAATATTTATGCGCAAAGTTACTATTGAACCTGTGCACCACAATCTTATATGGGCTTAAAATATGAAATATACTTTTTAAGAAAAAAAAAAAAAACCTCTGCCTTGTTTTTTTTTTTTCCGAGGAACACTTACCATGCTACTCTTTTCAAGGATGATTTGGGTTACACGGGTGGTCACGGGACAAATTACACTTATATCTCAAGGCATCGCTGTATGTACAGGTAGATTTCGCTCATTGCCGTTATTTTTTTTTTGTGTTGCAAATGAATTAAAATTCAAAAATGCAAATTAATTTATGAAGCTTTTCTAGGTCTCTTGTGACACCGATTTAAATTTTTTAAAAAAATAATTGCATCACTTTCATAGTGGGGAAAAAAAAAACATGCCAAATAACGCTTTCAGGGACAGCGGTCACTACAGTGGACAGCTTATCGTGTTATCAGGTTACAGCGTGCATGAGTGTGTTAAATGTTATGTGTGGGTACCTAAAGACCATTGCATTTTTCACAAAAACTGGAGTCCAAGCATCTGTGCGTTGTGCTAACATTTTTTTTTTTTATTTTATTCACAAGACAGCAGACGGAAGAGAAAAGCAGCCTGCGACTCAACCGCCTCTACCTGGACTGACTTGGAAATTCACATGAGTAAACTTTGTACAAGATAAAACGGAGCAGAAATGTAGTGTGCGGGGAGGGGGGAGGGGGGGATTACGATATAGCCGTGTCCTACTACAGTGTGAGGCGAAATCTTCCAAAATACAAAAACGTCTCAAATAAATGGTGTCACCGGGAGAGTTTTTAATGACTCAATCATCAATGAGTCCCAAAACCCACTTTGGTGTAAACTATACGGTATTAAAGATCATAAGCAGCATTTGCCAGGTTTGGGGAAACTTACAACAGAAGCCCCCCATGGTCTACCCTCTCTTTTTTTTTCTTTTTTTTTTTTGCACACGGTTGCCCCTTCAAGACACCCACGCGTTGACTTTCCCAACGCGGGGCCACTCATCTCAAAACCATATCATGCTTTATTTTGTAGTTCTGGAAAAGAGCTGTTGTCTTAGTCTTATTCGAGGGTAAGGTTTTTTTTTTGTTTGTTTGTTTTTTTTTGCGTGTGTGGATATTGACGACAGCACTGTCCTGCCTTCTCAGAGCCACCAGAAGCGCACGTAGACGATGAGCATAATGAAGAAAACGCCGCCGGCTGCCAGCTTGGCGTATGTGGAGCGTGTGTTCAGGTACTTGGCGTCGCTGCGGTACTTCTTGGACAGGCTGGACAAGTTGCTGGCCTTGGAGTCCAATGCTGGGGGAGGAGAGGAGAGGGGACGGGGCGGGGACAAAGCACAGTTAAAGCACTTGATAACATGATGTCGTCGTAGTAATTGTAACCCTTAAAACAACGGATTCTGAGCAACAATGAGCAGTGCTCGCATCCATATTATTTATCCTCTGCGAAGAGCAACTCATCACTGTGGCTTACCGAGGCCAAAATAATTTTTTGTTTATTAATTGAATAGTTAATCGACGTAGAACATAATTTGAAGGGTCAAATTGTTTGAGAATAGAATTTTGGTACATGCATTCGGGATCGGGAATCTGGTTTGTGGTTTTTTTGTTGCCCCTCCTTTTTGGGTTGGGGCACCTGACTGCAGTCATTGGGAGTTGATTTAGGACACCTGTGTGCAGGCTCAGACATACACGAGTGGGAGTGACAAGACAGATTTGGACTATGAAGGGCAGATCACGGAAATGTTACTCATGATTTGTGCTTATTTTTGCTATTAATAAATCAACAACAAAGTGACTCAGGATCTGGGATGATTCTTTGTGCTGGACTGCATGGAAGAAAAAAAAAACAAGTCGCCGCTGCAGTGCAACTTGGACTGGTGAGTCAACAAGCACACCAACGAATACCGTTATGGATTTGTGGAAATGACGTGAATATGAAATGAACGTGGTGATGTCAGGTCAATATTTTTAAGAAAAACTTTATCCTTAACCATTACTGTTTAAAAATGCCCTTCCAACAAAGTATTGGCAAAACCAGTCGCCATTTGTATGTATGTCCAGCGGGGTTCTCGGCATCTGCTGAAAGCAGATCTGACTTAGTTACTTTTAAAACAAAGTAACCGGTAACCAAGTTACTTTTAAAATGAAGTCATTAAAGTGAGAGTTACTTTTTCCCCAGGTAACTAGTGTTTGTGTATCAACATGTGAATATAGTCTTAGTGGTGCGCAACTTAAGTGCTTGCCTGTGGCGCACAAAATCTGAGCGGTCGACTTACCGGAGAGCGCCTCCCCTCTCTGGAGCACCTCTTCAATGTTGGCCACCATGATCCTCTGCACATCTTGCAGCTCCGTGTTGATGCTGCCCAGGTTCCGCCGGGCCCGGCTGTCAATGTAGGCCTTCTTGGTCTTTTGGATGTACGTGTCTGCGGACGCACGCAGGACAGGACGTTCCGTTACAAACAGTTGTTCGCAGGCGCCCTCTAGTGGCTTGTGCCAGAAACACTGTCGGTACAGTTCTCGGTACAGCGCTTACCGAACTCGATGAAGGAGTACGGCCGGGAGACGGTGGGCACCTTCTTGCCGTGCTGCTCGTGGAACTCGGCCTGCAGGTCCTCCAGGTAGGCGAAGGCCAGCTTTTTGGGGAAGCTGGCTTCGCACAGGACCAAGTAGCACACGCCCCTCTCCAGGACGTAGCTGCGTGCAAAACGAGAGAGCCGTCATGTAACGTAAATGACCGCACTGGCATGTAACCAAGTACAACTACTTGGGATACTGTTCATTTTATCTTGGCGGCGCCTCACTGGAAGGACATGGAGCCGGCTTCTAAGGTGCAGCGCGTGGGGCTCTGCTCGTTGAGTTTTCTGAAGAGCTGCTTGGCTTGACTCTGGTACTGCTGCAGGTCCCGGCCCAACTGCAACACACAGCGCATAGGCGTGCTTGTGGGGGGGAGGCCTCGAACGCATCACAGTAGCTACGTCGACACGAATTGAAATGTGCCATGTGCGCTACTTGTTTGTTAGTCCTGGTGTGTATGCTGGGGGGGCTATTGTGTTCCGAGCACTCGGTATGTCTTAGCATCCTTGAACACATCACTGTAGCGGCACATGAACAAGTAGGTTTATGTTTTTATGGGGGTGCTACTTTTATCACATTGTTGTGCAGAATTTGTCTGTCGGAGCGTCCTTGAACGCGTCACGGTCGCAATATCTCATAGCTGTTAAACTCCGCTTCTTGAGGGCCGATATGCTTTTATGTTTGAAATTGATCATTCCAATCGGGTGTGATGGGGGAGTGGAAACATCTAAAACATGCAAAATAGCGACGCTCGAGGACTGGAGGTGAACACTTGTGCAGTGCATAAACAAATAGTACACTGTGCTATAGTAGTACACGCGCGTGCCGTGTAGTACCTTTTATTACATTGTTTTGCTGCACTTGTCTGTCATCGTGTCCTTGAACGCAGCACAGAAACGGGACTGTATGCGTACACGCTGCTTACATCCCATTATTGGCATGACTCAGCGTTTCAGTGTAATATGCAATCTTTCAAAACGATGTCACAAAGGATTGGGCTGACCCGATCCCAGGCCCTTTACTACATTTTATCTTGAGCTCTTGAACGGATGTAGGTTATCTTTAACCATCATAAATAGTTCACAATCTGCCTTTTGGTCTTTCGGAGTGTTCTTAAAGGCATCGTAGCACATCAACACAAAAAGGATGCAAGGACACAAGGTGCACTGAAGAGCAACAACAAACCTTTTCGCTTCCCTTTGTTGATAGCAAACGAGAGAGCAAGGAGAAAATGTTAGACTTCAATTTCAGCGTATGAATTCAAATATCACACAGGATGACACAGTTTGATTGTCGTCATGGAAGAAGGCAAGGAATAGTTTTTCAAAGGAGCTTACGTTTTATATTAGTGCGTGGTACTTCCCTGAGAACATGCTTTTAATTATTTGCTTCATCACATAATGGAAATATATAAGAGCATTTCCAGATGATTCAACAATCATGTACGCATCAAGTCAAGTGGAGAAAAAGCTGGTAAAAATCTAGAATGTGATAAATACAATTGTACACTATTTGTTGTACAATGTTTAAACTTGTTCAATTATATCCAAATTAATCATAATGATTAGTTATTATTAGCAGCAGTGTTGTTATTATTAATGTTATTACATGATAAAAGCAATCGTGAAACATTCATCCACAATATCACCTGACTGCAGGTAACTAAAAAAAAAAAATCAATTGATTGGGTGGAACACATTCCGGGCAATGTCTTCTCCCACAAATCCTAATTATGGATTCTGTCATATTTGATGTTGGTCAAAATAAAATGATTCTGACAGAAATCAGGTCGCAGTGACGCGATGTAAATAAACAAGCCACTTGTCCACTGCACAGGCCTGCAGCTGGAGGACTTTTAAACGGTGTCCGACCTGCACACGTGGAAATAACGGAGCTCCCACTTGAACCGGACGAAACCGCGGAGGCGTTTTGCGTACGCTCAAGACACACAAACGAGACGGAACCCAGTTGGATCGGAAAGTGGCGTGTCGAACCTGCTCGTCCTCCTGCATCGAAGCGGCCAACGGCAGGCCGTCGGCCAGCCGGGCGATCATCGTCAGCAGCACCATCTTGTCCGCTGAAGCCACGCGACCTTTCGGGTTTCGTTGATTTTGACAGCCTGGAAGGGGGTCCGATTGGGGAAAAGGAGGACCCGGACCACCAGGACGGATGACGTGACGACGCTGAGCTGGCCGGAAGCGCGTCACCGCAGCCTTCGTGTCCGTCAACGTAAGACTTCCGGTAACGTCGCCAGCCGGATCCTTTTGCATTCTGAAAACCGTTCCGTCCAAAAAAAAATTTCAATAAAACATTCAGGTTGACACTTAAAATGGTTTTAGCCTGAAAATTGTTCGAGAGAAAGGCATATTGTAAAAGTCGCTTTTTTTGCAATTTTACTGCTTTGGCGCCTAAAGGTTGAATGCTTCCGGACTGAAGATGTCAACATGACAATATTTTGTCAGATATGTACCGCCGCCTAGTGGCGATAAGAAATATTTTTGTAACATTTGGTTGTGTAGTACTTCACCGAAGATGTTGACTGAATAAAATTTTGTCAGATAAGTTTCATACTATCCTACTTAATTCAGAATCTTGTGACTTTTCGGCAGAGGGCGTGTCTATACTGGTGCTGCAAATTCTGATGACTTGTTCTGACAACAAAATCTGCTGTAACTTGAGCTGCAATGAACCTGAGACCATAAATCGATACCAATGATACAGCAAAAAATGTGAGGGCTGCACTAATAGCTCAAAAAGATTATGTGCTAGGGAAAAAAAACAGATTTTGAAAATTGGCGTCAAAAATGCATTTAGGGACCCAAAAAAAAAAGCCCTATCTGATTCAAATTTGCTGTTGACCCGTCTTTTATGCACATGTGCAGCTGCGTATAGTGTTTGACAGATTAATTTTGTTTGTCTGTTACCAACCAAAGCGAAACAGGACTTCACGTCTCCAGCAAAAGCAAGAGCAAAATTAAATCAAGCAAAATTTTATTTATGTAGCCCTTACTCACAGAACAATCTCAAAGGCATTCACAGGCCCACAGTTGACAAAGATTGGCAACGTCACAAGATCCAAGCCCGCAACCGGGTAAAGAAAAAACTCAAAATCCAGTAACGGGGAGAAAGAAGAACACTTCGGAAGGGAACACGGATGACGGTCTAAACATGTATGAAAATTCATTGAACAGGCCTGGCACAAACAAATCCATGTTAGTATTGTGCCATTAAAAAAAATAAAAATAAAAAAAATAATCATTTTGGAGTGCCAGTACCTCAGTGAGGGCAGGGCTACAAGGGCCCTTGATAGCTCGTCGCAGCTCTCGTTACAGTACCTGGATATCAAGAACATCCAATAAATCCCTAAATGGCTTTCCATAGCTGCTTGTTTATGCTGCGACGTGCATTTTTTCACACAGGCAGTGGAGCAAAGCAATCACACATTCATACAGTCAACAAATTGAACATGAATCGAATGACAAACATCCATGTTGGAAGATGACCATCCAATAAAAGTACATGAGAAATATACAATTGCAATTAATAGAGTCAAAGCAATCCCTTGATTATTCCAATAATGGTACGAGCATAAAACAAAGGTTTCTTTAAAGACGGAAACGGTAGTTGAATGCTGAGTGGCGGGAGTGCTGCGGCGACGTCAGTGTACGGAGAAGAGGTGCTGGTACTTCTGCTTGATGGCTATGGCGTGGCTTTGAGGACACGGCAGGATGGGGAGACGTGGAGGGCCCAGCTGCAGGCCTGACACTTCGTTCATCAGCTGCTTATTCACACCCACGTCGAATCCTGACAATCACCAGAGAGAAATTTCAAGGAGACAGACTGCTACGGATAAAAATTGAGGAAAAAAGAAGAAAAAAAAAACTCGCTTGATCATTTTTGTATTTTGACCATTTTTGCTTTTTTGGCAAACAAATGCTCGCAATGACATTTGTGTTCGGGAGTTACGGTATGTTGTCAGTTTTTTTTTTTTTAATTACATTAAAAAAAATTTAATGAAACATTTTACTTCAACCGATATTTATAAATAAAGATGCCAAACAATTAAAAAGTGGTTGAAAGGTTTCTTGATAACATGCCCATGACCGGTTTTAGTTTTCAGGTATGTGTACAGTGAACCTCCATAAAATGCCTCTTGCTCTCCTTCCCCAGAAGGGGCATAAGAGTAAGCGAACGGTTCAAAACAAATAATAATAATCCACTGACCAACTTTGACAGCATGGTTGATGAGCTCTTGCATCTTGAACTGCAAAAATAGGACAAAGAGTGCATGAGTGATATGGACGGACATTTTGAGAACCATGACTGGATGGAAGAAGGAAAACAAACACACACAGACACACACAAAACCTGTACCTGAAGGTTCCTGGCCTGCACAAGGTTTCCACTGTCAAACTCAGACAACAGCTTGTTCATGTGACTTCCCAGGTAGTTGTACGTACTGCAAGTACAGCAATTGAATGAATGTGAATTCAGACTGAACAATTAACACATTCAAATTTGACATCGCAATGGAGTAGAATGCAATTTTCACATTGTATCTCAAATCTTTCCCCATTAAAATGCCATGAATCAGTTTTAGCCCTCACAACCACCCCCCAACATTTGTAAAAAAAAATTGTTCACAATAAGCACTCTATTGTACTTTATAAAAAAAAAGTGACAACAAAAATAATAGAATGCATATAATTTAAGAGTTTGTGCCTGCTCATTTCATGCTTCAAAACATTGTGCCGATCCTTGTGGTGTGCGCCTTTGGCCACCAGGGGCAGTATAACATATACTGTGTGTGTGTGTGTGTGTGTGTGTGTGTGTGTGTGTGTGTGTGTGTGTGTGTGTGTGTGTGTGTGCGTGCGTGCGTGCGTGCGTGCGTGCGTGCATAACAAACAAAACATGACAGTCACAACTACTCAGCAAGCCATAGTGAAAGTAAATGCTTTGGGCAGAGGATAAAGAATATATTCATGCATGTGAGTATTACTTCGTGTGTATGTGAAAGTTGCACGTGTGCGATCGTCGAACATTAAGTTGAGCGGTAAAGGTTGAAGGGCATTTCAAGTTCGTCCTCAATGTCAGAGGAAATCCCAATCTGTCCAACTTTGTGGGTGAGTGGCATAGGGTGGAAAAAAGCTGACCTGCCAACTGCTCCGTGGGCTCCCAACGCGAGGGCCGCCAACAGTTGCTACGTGACAGGACAAGAGAAGGTGAGAAGCCAAAAGGGAGGCGGAGGTGCGGTCATGCGGCGTGAGCGCAGCGGACCTCGTCCACACCGTACAGGATGGACCAGTGGGGCTGAATGCGGCTGATGCACTGGCCCAAGTCCATCAGGTTGCTCCCGGAGAATTTCACACCTCGGAATGAAGGAATGAGCGTCTCGATGCCTTCCAGCAAATCGCTCGCTGGCACTGAGAGAAGACGTGACACATTCAAGGAAAACATCATCTGGAAAATGGATTATTGGATTGTGAATTCCTCCTCCAAATCCACCCCAAAGCCCACCATCCTAAACTTTTTTTGACAACTGCATCCGCAATACAACAAGACTCACCATTAACACCAGTAAGAGCTGGAAGGTGGTAGTAGTAGAAGGGCACATTCGGGGCCACGTCGGCAACCGTCTGGAGGTATGCCCTCACCGACTCTGAGTAGGGAAAACGATTGTGCACATCCCAGTTGACTTTTCACGTGCAACCGCACTTGAATACGGTTTCTCTGCATAAAAGCCACGCGTACCTGCAGAGCGAGGTTTGAAGAAGGAGGGAGCAATGACTGCTATCCCGTCAGCTCCGATTCCCACCGCGTGGCGAGCCTGAACAAATCATCACAAGCAGTGTTCTGTATTTACAATACGAAACTCTTGGGATTTCTCTTGGCTGCACTGCTCCCACTAAATGATTGTGGATGTTCAGATTTTTTTTTTCAGCCCTTCTGATGCATGCCAGTTGGGGGCAGTATAATACACACATATGGATATGCGTTGAGACCGTCACTCCTCAGTAAGCTGCGGTAATATTGGTCGCTCTTCACAGGGGATAAAGAAAATATGCCTGCGAGCATTACTATCCAGCTCCATGTGTTGCTCCACAACTCGTCTTCAAATATTGCTGGATTGGCGTGTTGTGATGTGATGTGTTAGCATTTGTTTGCTTTCCTCACACAAAGCCACGTGGTTCTCTTATGTACGCGTTTAATGGCCTGGTCTAGATGATGAAGATGGCACAGTTGCATGCTGTCGCGTTGCCTTTTTGTAAAGAATTGAAGGTTTCTATAATTCCGACATGATAGTGCTGGTGTGGTTTTTTTTTTTGGAGGTCCATCCCAATTCTGATATATTGAAGAACACAATTGGCTCTATAGTTAAAATGTGCATAACGATTTAACAAATATATACTTTTTGGTCCCTTGATACTTACAAAACTAAAGATATGAATTACAAACATTTGAGTGTTTGACAATACTTTTAAGTATTTGTTACAACGTCACCAAGAGAGAGAAAAATCTGCAAATGATCTCCTCTGCAATGATCTCACATGTGACCGAGTTGGGATTATTTTTTTCCACGCATGCCGTTATCACGAACACGGAAAAGAGGAACTCACTAGCTCTTGGGAATCTTTGAGACTGGTGCAGCCAACGTGCACAATCACCTGCTCCATTCTGTACGAAAAAAAAAGACTTAACTGTTGTTTTGCTTCAATATGTGTATGAGATTGAATACAGAGTAGCAATGAAATGAATAAATAAACCTTATATTTCTCGTACAGTAGTGACGTTTTTTTGGACAAAGGTCTGTCTGACTCCGGTTTAATGTTTTAAATTAAAAAGGGGGAACTCAAAGGAAACATTTTTTTGCTATATGATGTCTAGATTCTCCTCGACTAGTGGTGGTGGGCGCCACAAAGGTAGAATGTATTACAGTATTGCAAAGGAAACTGTCGGGCTGGGGTGGGGGGCAAGACTTACTTTCCCTTGGCTTTCCGACACCAGTCCTCGGCCAGTAACTTCCTCTCGTCCACGCTGAGAGACATTCCCTCTCCGGTGGTGCCGTTGACTGCGAACAAGTACGGTCTTGTTATTTTTACAGGCTAATGCGGGATTACGAGAGCGCATCTCAACAGGTAAAAGTTGAGAGATAGAGAGGGTGAAAACCAAACATTGTCGCCAAATATCGCCGACAAAGAAAAAGAGCACGACAAATTGAACAATACGGTGAACCGACAGTAATTTACATGGAGTATGGATACGTAAACTAGCCCAAGTGAACTATGCACCTGCTTTACCACTAGAGGGCGCCCCGAAACTAATTAACCATCAACCAGAGACGCGTCGCAACGACCTACATTTGCTCTTTTACGTTTATTTTCAGGAGTAAATTTTGGGGTAACTACATGTCTGAGTAGTTTGAATGCAATGTCGTTTTTACTTTTCCTGGAGTGTTTTTGCGAATTGCTCCATTACACTGAACTCCATTCTCCTGTCTACCTGCATTTTTAAGCAACAGGGATTCCTTGTTGCTTGCGCAATCTCTGAGTCACCAGACGGACGCGCCACGTGATAGCGGCCTCAAAGTGACTCAGAATGTGTGAAACAGCAGCAGAAATCTATAGTGACCTGACAAACAATCGCCAGCTCACCAGGAAGCAGTAAGTCATGTGTGTCTGCCGAACAATCGCGGCATTTCGGCCCACAATAACCACACTTGGGAGGTTGAGAAACATACAAGGGGTCTCGTCTGCAAAATGTAATGCTCTGATAAAAAAACAACCATAGGTGAATACATAGTGCTGCATATAAAGTAACAATCAGACATAAAACAAACTTAAAACTGATTAATAAAATCAATCAATAGTTTTCAAATTAGACTGAGAGGGAGGCATTGCTGAATCGTGCGGGTGAAGCCACGTCATAGTGCAATGTCATCAAATTAAATATTTTTTTCCTAATGGGATTATTTAACATTGATGCAGTATTTAAAAAAATGTCATTAGTTACTCACCACTTACTCTTTACTTGAGAATTTTTTTTCACTGAAAACTTGCACTTAAGCAAATATTTGGAGTCCTTATTTTTACTTTCATACATCTCAGCCATTTTATTTGTTAACTGCACTCCATTCTTGTCCTTGCACGCCATATTATGCAACAGGGTCACCCCCAGCAACAAAGACACAAACAAGTTTCGGACCACGTGATGCTAAAGAGGAACCACAGAATTTGACCCAGAAGAAAACGATGAGTGGTCCTGTTCAGGGCAGGATATTTGATTCCAACATGACTGTTAATGTTTCCTTTTGGGCTGAGGCGGGCCGTGCATTTGTTACTTTTAGAGGAGACTTATCTGATTCTTGATGCCACCACTATCACATCGCTGTTATAGAAACCATGACTACAGTGGTGCCTTGAGATACAAGCAGTTTTGCCAGACTTACCGAAAGAAAAATTAACTTTACTTACTGACGTGATAGTGGTGGTATGAACGAGTGGAACAAGTCCCCACTGAGGCCCTGGGTACCAAATGCACGTTTGGCCGGTTGCTTTGAAAAGACTTAAAGGAACGAATTTGACAAACTAAGAAAACAGGTTATGCTAATGTGGTTACGGAGATGAGACAAAATGTTCGATTGAGGCGGGAACAAGTACACACACCAGACAGGTCCTGAAATGAATAATTTATGTATCAACTTACCAAAAATGCTATTTACACCTTGCTTCTCTTTCAAGTAGTCAATATAAGGTCCAATCTCTGATAGGTTGACTTCACTGTTATGGGAAAACAAATGTCGCACACATATGCATACACATTTAGCAAAATGACATGTACAAGATGGCGTCGATTTGCGGATACAGGTGGGAGACAAATTAACAGGGTCCCCTCATCTGCTGTTTTTGAGTCTATTACCACACATGAACCACTCTGAAAAAACAAGAGCAACTTCTCTCTTGGACTGAAAATGTGAGTGCTCACATCCTCTTTCTAGACTTGCTTATTCGTCTATTTCCCCCCCCCCCCACCCTGTAGTTTTGTCATCTGACTGTATCGTACCATGAAACATACAAAGTGGCCCAATAATCACAATCCACGTCCTTTGTCTATCACGTCCTTTGTCTATTTGGTTTCAGGTATTATGCGTTACAGATGTGAGGCCATCAGCATTTTGAAAGTTTCAGCTTTGCACCTTTTCCCATGGCTCACCAATTAACTGTGGAGCGACAGATGTGAGGCGATCAGCATTTTGAAAGCTTTCCACCTTTTCCCATGGCTCACCAATTAACTGTGGAGCAGCGAATAGTTTTTCTGTTAGAGGCATTTTGAGAGGATTTATGGTTATTACCCTCTTCCAATTTGTAGAACAATTTAAACTATTCATGGCAAGTCACTCAAAACAGAATAAATGCTTGAAAAACAATAAAACATGAAATGATCAATGAAACAATGAACTCCTCCAATCACCCCTGCTGACTAAATGTCCCCCAATAGGATGTGCTCCGGCGCCAAAATTATCAGCACTCCTAAAGTTCTGATGTTCGAATCGCCCCTGGGCAGGAGAATGATTTGTTAACAAAAACTAAACTGCCAAAAGCTGCTGGCCTCATGTACTTCTTCTGACTTATACCTGGAATAAAAAAATGGGAACTGTATTGTGAATTCTGTGGCACTTATTTATAAAATGTTTTTTTTTGTTTTTTCAAAATACATACCCTTGGGAGGTGAATGGAGTGAATGTGGCCGCAACCAGGCCAGTCAATTTCTTCCCGGCACATTGCGTCATAGTTGACTGGTCTACGATAACGTACAAAAATGAAAAGCAATTTTAAGATAAGATAAGAAAACCTTTATTCTGCTCGCAATGGAGAAATTCCCAATTCACAGCAGCCAAGTTATGAAAAAAATAATATACAATTGGACAATAACTGGATTTTTTTTGCAGTAATGTTTTACAAAACAACTTACAGGTAAATCTAAAAAGTATGTGAATATAACGTAAAACTCCGATACGACCCTTAAAACCACTGGCGGTGAAGTACAAAATCCAAGCGTTTAAAACCGCCATTGGCAACGTAAACGAAAAGGAGCATGCATGTTTGCTGTACACGGGATCGAAAAGTGTAAATCTATTTTTGCAAGTGCCAGATACTACCTACCTGTTACAACTCGCTCTTTCCCCTGCCAGTGTGAATCAAGTACGTACTGCACTTTGGAGGAAACCGGGTGCGGATTATGGTCATGGTTAATGTTTGACTCGGAAGTTTGTTGACGTACTCTCTCACGTGAACGCGTCAAGTGACCGCAACCTTTGTGGGAAATGGAGTTTTGATTCGTAAAACTTAAACAAAACACGATACAAACATCAGGTATAATCCAATTGCGCGTGGTTATCACATATAACGTGACGCAGTTAAATAAATTTTTTCCTTCTTTAATTTTCATTTCAAATGTACTTAGCGTCGATTTAGGGGCGGGCCGAGCGGCATTTAAGTTAAACCGGAAATAGCAAGAATGGATGTCCACTGTAAATAGTAGCAAGACTGTTTGTTTGCATTACATTTTACATTCTTCGGGTATAAAAGTTTAATTGAGTGGAAACTGTGGGTATATATATTTAGAACAAAGGCCTCGCTTTGTGACATGAAAACAACATCCTGTATATGAACAAGGTTGTCGTACCTTTTATTTCAGATTTTTTGGGAGTGACATTGAAGGCATCGTATTAGGTGATTTGACAGCCATCGGTTCTTTGTACATGCCGATGGAAATCGAGAAGAACGATCCCGTTTTTGAAGAAAATCATTCAATAATAATTACATACATAAATAAAATGACGTTTACTTTCGCCTCGTTATTTGTAAGGAAAATGTTCACGATTTTAACCTGAGAGTCATAACTCGGGTAAACACCTATCAGGAAGCGGATGTTGTCGAGCCTTTTTAAGATGGCAGCAGGCTAACCTAAAGGAAGAAAAGCAACAGAAGATGGCTAGTTTGAAATCCAGTTTCTTACTTCACCTCAACGGACTTTAAACCTGACGCCATCGGTGTCCTCGTTTCTCCAATTGGAATATTTTCAACTTTTTTTATTTTTTTTTTTTTGGTGACGTTTTCTTTTGCGTTGTCCGCGGCTAATTAGCATACCAGCTAGCGACAAGCTAACTGGGCAAATTCAAATATGGCAAGTGCACAACTCTTTGGACTGCGATGACGAAAACTAGTTCGTCAAGATCTGGCAATTATTAACATTTACGATAGACTGGTAGGTTAATGGCGGTTGAAAGCGCTATGGAGAACTCATTGTCAAGGACTTCAGTTATTTGCCCTCATTTAATAAATGGAAGGTGGGCCTTTTGAATATCACTGTGCAGCAACTCAAGCTTTTGGTTTCGTGTAAGTGTCAGTGGATTTTAATTACTTGACACGCAAATTGGCCAAGCAATGAAGCGTACAGTTAATGAATAAATTACCAAATAAAATCATATAAGGCCTTGTATTTGGGCTACGTGTCTCACATCCTCCTTCCAGTAGATCCGGGTGACAGCATGGAAAAGCAAACAAGTGTCACCTGTAACCAGTGAAATGGCAAATATACAACATTGTTGTTAGTCATTTACTGACTAGGGAGATGGCATGCAAGTGGCCGACTCTTCACTGTGTAGTAGTTGTAGTTTCTAGCTGCTATTGTAACAAAACTTCAAGAGACTAATCGAGAATCAAAGTGAAGTTGTGTACCTTGCTGCTCATTGAGCCACAATGCCATCGACACTGTTTGTCTTGTTGCTGCTGGCGGCGTCATGTAGCCTGGGACGTGCCATGTCACGGGACGAGAAACTCAAGTTGAGGTGAGTGCAAGAAAAAGTATGATTTAAAAGTGCTGTGTATATACAGCTGATTTAGAAATCAGCACCTCTCCCTCATGATGCACATCTGTTCTTTCCTCCAAAAAGGAACCAAGTGGTAGAGATGTTCGACCACGCGTACCAGAATTACATGGTAAGTCATCGCTTTTAATTCCTCAGATGTCAAAACAAAAATTCCTATCTCAGTCACTGTCAGTCTGGACGTCAGACGACACGAATGTAGTCTGATTTTGAGCCGACAGACATGTCACAGACAAACGTAGATTTTGAGTGGTCTTGACACATCGTAGCCTGTGGAGTGTGACTTACTCTACGATTGGCCCCGAGGCGTCTGGGACGCTTCACGACCACGACGACGAAAGTCTGGCATGTCAGAATTTTTGTTGGTCTTGCCACATAGTGTGACATGTCCAACATCGTCTTTCGATTGGTTCTTTGGCATTGACCAAAAGGAAAATAGTGTCTTTCTACTTTTGACAAGACTGGATGTGGCGCACACAATCACAATGTGATGTACAGTATTTTAAAAAATGACTTGAACAGAACCTATTCATTTTTTCCTTTGTGAAAAACTATTACTGCAAATGTACATGAGCACACGTAACGTGATTGTCAATTTTCCCAAAGGACCATGCTTACCCAGCCGATGAGCTGATGCCGCTAACATGCAGAGGAAGAGTACGAGGACTGGAACCCAGTCGGGGCGACGTGGACGATGCGCTCGGAAAGTAAGAACTAAAGAAAAAAAAATGCAGTACAGTGAAACTCCTCTACAACGAAATCATGTTTGCAGCAAGAAATTTTTCACAACAGGGGGTTTTTCACTGTAGCAAATTTGATCTCAGATGTAAACACACACACAAACGTATTGTGTTGTGTACATGCACACACAAACATATGTGTACTCTATTTTTATTCCAATAGTGCATAAGTATGAGCATCCACTTATGTGACACTTCATATAGTCAGTGTAGAAAGAAAAAAAGGGAAAGAAATTGCGAAATTTACGATCAGCATTCACTTTCACGTCCATCAATTTCTTGGATAATGTCTTTTATTTTGCTTCCTCCGTCTTTCATTTTGATCACTTTTACCCTCTCTTTCAGCGTCAGCTCTTCTTGTCTTAGCTGCTTGACATCCAAAGGTCCGTTTTTTTAGCCATTTTAGCAATGCAACGTTCTTACTGCGTCTGAAACTAACAATAACAAATACTTCCTGGACTACTGCGCATGTGTATAAAGAGATTTTGATCTCTTTATAAACACACTGGCTAAACCCTGGTGGGACGAAAAAAGACGTCGTGGACGAGGCTACTATTGTAGTAGAAAAATATATATTTGGACAGAAAAAGGAAAGAAAGGAAGAGGAGAAACATACAGATTGATGGAGAGCGTGTCCATCCAACCTCGAGCGTCGTGTCGTCTCAACTAACTAACCTAGCTGTTGTCGTGGCTAGGCTAGCTTAGCTGTTGTCGTAGATCAAAGCACTTTGATGTGTAACCGTTGCGTCAGCACTGATTGGTTGAAGCCAAAAGACGCACGCGTGTGTACATGTTCGCGCTGACGCACGCACACTGACAATATTTTTGCCCATGTAGGTTTCGTTGTAGAGGAGTTTCACTGTATATGGGTCATTCGACAATCCATGTTGCGGCCATAAAATTCTAAGTTTGTGATGATTTGCTTCATAAACTTTGAACATTAAATATCTTGTCTTGGTAGCGTATTCAATGAAACGTAGGTTGAACATGATTTGCAAATCATTGTTGTCTGTTTTTATTGACGTTCAACACACGGCCGCAACTTCATTGGAATTGGGTTTGTAGGATTGAAATAGAATCTCGGCACTCTAAATACAGTAATAATTTAGTTTTTTTTTGTGATAGCATGAGTAACAGGGTTGCATTATTGTGAGTGATACACTATTGAAAAAGTGATGCTCTGTTATTTCAGTATTTCAATGCATTTTCTTTCATGGGTGAACACTTATCTCCTGCAGGTTCTCGTTAACCCTCATAGACACTCTGGATACGCTTGTGGTGAGCACCAGTTTTTTTTAATTTCTCGGGGATAAAAGAATGAGGACTCCCAAATAAATAATCCCCGATATTTTTTATTTTTTTGCACCACGTACTAAACAGTGGCCAATATGTCTGTTGTGGTGACTTTTGACACCCAAGTATTGTTTTATTTTTTTCACCAGCTTTTGAACAAGACGGTGGAGTTTGAGACTGCAGTCAGGAGAGTCTTGTCAGACGTCAGGTTGGACAATGACATCGTGGTGTCGGTATTTGAAACCAACATTCGAGTCCTCGGGTAAGGAAAATTGTCCTTTCAGAGCCTACATTTTGTTACTAAGGTGTGTTTAAAATTTGTAGTTTGGATTTGAAATTTATTGTTATTGTGCCCCCCAGAAAAATTTGGAGTTTGGATTTGAAATTTATTGTTATTGTGCCCCCCCCCCCAAAAAAAATGCTGAATTTATTTTTTGGTGAAGATATATTTCATGATGCCTCAAACATCTGAGCAGCCTTTTCTATAATGCCAACAACAATGTGCTTTTAATGGCAAAATAATGTATTTACAAATATTCACCAGTGAAACAATTTTACATTTGACAAACTACAAGCTATTTGCCTGCTATTTAGTAGTAGTAGTAGTAGTATTTAGTTGTGTATGCGCATGCATGTTGCCATGTATGTACCCGTTTGCGTATGTAAGTACATACATCGCTCCTAAATTCAAATAATCTTTTTCGTCATCTTTTCACTTTTATGTGACACTCTTTTTAGTAGCTTTAAAAATGACAAACACTGATCAGTCACATGCTGCTTGGAATGGTTGCATTTTCAAGGGTAGGCCGTGTTTCAGGAGCTGACACATTATGACCCACAGTGATTTAATCCAAACAAGAGCCACTACTGCCATCTGCTGGCCATAGTTGTTTATTATTTTTTTACATTTCACTGTTAAATGATCAAACCTGAGTTGGCCAAGTGCCACCCCACCCCCAAATAATCTTTTTCGTCATCTTTTCACTTTTATGTGACACTCTTTTTAGTAGCTTTAAAAATGACAAACACTGATCAGTCACATGCTGCTTGGAATGGTTGCATTTTCAAGGGTAGGCCATGTTTCAGGAGCTGACACATCATGACCCACAGTGATTTAATCCAAACGAGATCCACTACTGCCATCTGCTGGCCGTAGTTGTTTATTATTATTTTACATTTCACTGTTAAATGATCAAACCTGAGTAAAAACATCCAGAATTGACGTAGGTGGCGTTTCACGTCAATGGCACTCAAAAGAAAAACACCTCAAATTTTGTTTGGTTTTGTTTTTCGAGGGCGGCAACAGATAAACAGCACATCTCTTCTTTTCGTCAAACAAAATGATAAGTCAAGGTACCACAGTATGTCATTTCTTACTGTCATGAACGTGTTTTATTCATGCTGTTCAGAGGTCTGTTGGGTGGACACTCCATGGCTTTGATGCTGAAGGAAGAAGGACACCACATGCGGTGGTACCAAGACGAGCTGCTGCACATGGCCAAAGACCTGGGCCTCCGACTTCTGCCAGCGTTCAACACCAGCAGTGGCCTTCCTTACCCCCGGGTGAGAATGGGCAGCGGCTTTGACGCTGCCACTGATAAGCTGCCGTTTTATTGATTGATTTATTTTAATTGAGGCACTGCACCAATTAGAGGGGAGGCAATATATTGAGATTCTTTTTTTTTTTTTTTTTCCACAGGTGAACTTGAAATACGGCGTCAGGGGTCCTGAGACGCGGACGGGCACAGAAACGGACACCTGCACAGCATGCGCCGGAACCATCATCCTGGAATTTGCTGCCTTAAGTCGCTTCACTGGGGATCCCGTGTTTGAGGTGGGACCCACATCAGCAAATCTAGCCGCTTACCTCCGTCTTATCCAAGTGGCGATTTGGTTAAGTTGCTGTAATGCTGAATTCCAGCCTTGGGGCGGGGCGACAACACAATAGTTTTCCCAGTGAGCAGTATGGCAGATACTGAGCACTATCTGGAAAAAAAAAAGTTTGCACTTCTCTCATTTGATGTTTAGTGTCTAACTAAACATCAAACAAAGAGGATACTGTATTTAGAATATCGTCAATGTAGCGTAATGCTAACAATGCAAAATGCCATAGATGGGCGAATGAACACATGGACAATATAAAACTACTCACAGGCACAGGCACGTTCTTTATTCTCTGTAAAAAAAAAAAAAAAAGAGCAAAACCTTTCTCGCGCTTGCAGGCACATGCCCGGAGAGCCCTGGACTTTCTTTGGGAGAAGAGGCAGAGGAACAGCAATCTGGTGGGAACCACCATCAACATCCACTCAGGAGAGTGGGTCCGCCGCGGTGAGAGGCGCACAGGGTAGTAGATGAGGTGGGAAGTAGCCGGTGGCAGAAATAAGGATACGAGATGGCAAGATTAGATTGTGCAAAGGGCGGAGGAGTTGAAAAAAAAAATAATTTCCTTTGTGCGATGACTCACATCAACGATGAATGCACGCTTTGTTTTCTAGACAGTGGCGTTGGAGCAGGGATTGACTCGTACTATGAATACCTCCTCAAGGCCTACGTTCTTCTGGGAGATGACCAGTTTCTTCAGCGCTTCAATATTGTGAGCATGCATGACACACACTCAGTTGCATAGCAACAGGATAACGCACAGGATAATTCAATATATTGCATGTTTGCAATGTGTTCTAGTTTGGGTGCTTACTTAGTTTGTTTCTGTACGTCATTTCTCAAAATAATTGTCAGCGGCGTTTAATTACTTAACTGGGTTGGGGGGGAGCGTTCATTAGTAGAATTTTTATGGAGGTAACAATAGTAAATATTAGAAAATTCCTGCGTCAAAAAAATGTAGAAATTAGAGGTGCGGAAAAAAACAATAATGTTTGGCTTTTGTTTTGAAATTTTTGGGGAAGACCCAATCAAAAAGGTTTGTAAGACACATAATGTCCGAAAAAGCACTTTTTTTGTCACTTTTTTAAAAAAATAGGCAAGGCTTTGGCCTGACAATAGACACAATAAGGCACAGGTGTCAAATTCAAGGCCCGGGGCCCAGATCTGGCCCGCACATTATTTTATGTGGCCCGCGAAAGCCAATCGAATGATTGCGAAAATCTGGACCAAAATTTCAACTTCTCCTTTGTAATAAATAAGAGAGATATCGTTAACATTTTCTTGTTTCCAAACCCCTCATTACAGTAACTTAAACAATCGTGGAATCAACCATTATTCTTGACTTCTTTAAATGCCTTCACAGTCATAATGGCCCTCCGAGGAAAAAGGTCACTTCAATGTGGCCCGCAACAAAAATGAGTTTGACAGCCCTGCACTAGTTAAAATAGATGAAGTGAGACGATTACAGCTGGAACAGTTTTTTTTTTTTTTTGTCGTCCTGAAGGAGAAAAGGGAGGTGTTAACTTTTCCAAAGTGAATTACTCTCCCGCTGTCTTAATTGTGGCACAGCCACTTTTTGAGGAATTGCCGTATGTTGCCCATGTTTGTCAAATGTGTCCCTTTTTTTTATCATCCCACTCAGCACTATGCATCCATCATGAAGTACATAAGCCAGCCTCCCCTGCTGTTGGACGTTCACATCCACAAACCTCTGCTTCCCGCTCGCACTTGGATGGACTCTCTGCTGGCTTTCTTCCCTGGTCTGCAGGTCCGATTGGATTATTGTGGAATCAATTTATTTGTTTTCTTTTGCCATTTCACTCGTTTGTTCTACTGACTCATACCCCCACGCCCCTCTTCCCCAGGTGTTGAAGGGAGACATCCGTCCAGCCATTGAGACTCATGAAATGTTGTATCAAGTTACCAAAAAACACAACTTCCTACCAGAGGTAAACCTGTTGGATTCAAAAGCCGAGTTGCGTACATGTCGGGCTTTAGCTGAGAGTTTATCCGCGCTGAAGGCGTCGTTTTTTTGCGAATTAAAGAACGAGACAAACCGGTGTATCTTCATGGTTACCGAGCGCTGCCAAATGCCATGGACGTCAATCATTTAAAATAGATGTTTGCTAACTTCGGCCAACGCGCGGTCTAGGGATTAAAAGTCAAACTGCGCTCGCAAAATCACAGGAAAGAATGGCAGATGAATTCATTTGTTGTTGGTTCATAAAACTAAAATAAAGTAAATCTACTCAGCCCTCAAAGATACAGAATGTTTTGGATGCTGTCATATTACAGTCAGCTTGGTACAATCAGTTTTGTTTGCCCAAATCATATTTGCACATTTTTGCAAATCAAGATAAAAAAAAATTAAAAAATTAAACAAACGAGAAACATGATGGAATACCTCCACATGCAGCCCAGTGGAGTTAATTATGATTTGCTGAAGTTTGCTGTTGTTTTTTTTTTTTTTTAAGCATTTGATTTCAGAAGCTCCACTGCATTAATCGACAACATGTTAATATGGTTAATTTTATTCTTATTATTTTTTAATTTACTGTAATTTGAATTTTGATGGATCTTTTTGGAGCAAATTGTTGTTGTCTCATAATTGAACCCTCGTATTTATTTTGACGCATGTTTCCGTTGAGCCTCCTCCAATGAAATGCATTAGTAGCTTTGCAAGACGACGAATCTAAAATGACACGTACAACTAGCCCCGAAAGGAACGCCACCGTGAAATCCTCATGCGTCCTTTCATACACCTGACAGACAACCTCAGGCCTTTGGTTCATTCTCGCTCCAGTCTCTTAAAGTGCCACTTAGAATGCCGCAACGCTGCACTGACTCGCTCCCTTTCGTCTCCGCAGGCCTTCACGACTGATTTCAGGGTACACTGGGCCCAGCATCCACTCAGGCCGGAGTTTGCTGAGAGCACCTATTTCCTTTACAAGGTAGAAAAGAAAAAAAAAAAGTAAATGCAGATGTCTTATTACCTTCCAAGTGCAGCCGAATTGGGTTCACTTGCATGTGCGACGTCTTTGCAAAATGTAATCATTTGCTTTAAAAAAACAAAAAAACAAACTGACCCTAAAATGATGTCGGATTCTCTCTGGCCTTAGGCCACAGGGGACCCGTACTATCTTGAAGCGGGTCGCACCATCATGGACAACCTTAACCGCTTTGCTCGGGTCCCATGCGGGTTCGCTGCCATGAAGGACGTGCGGACGGGCAGCCACGAGGACCGGTGAGAAGTAGTCGAAACGAGTACATCACGGATTTGTAGGTTATTAAAAAAAAAAAAAGAGAGAGAGACAGCGAACTGTTGATGTCAAAACCCTGCCTGGTGAAGTGGCTTTGGGAATCTCATCAAGTCGGCGGCAAAATGGGCCCCCTTTGTAATTAAGAACAAATGAAAATTGCTTATCGCTTACCGAGTTACTTTGCCTGCCGTTTGGCCGCCTTCGGAGGGATTAATCAGTGGGCTATTGACATTACATTGTTCCACAATTATCATTCATATGCTGTATGGTAATTGGGCATATTTCATTAAGGAATTATGGCGCCCACGTAACGCGTGGCAAAATGGAGATAGGCGAAAACAAACATCAATCATGCGCTGGAAGTAACCGAAAAATATTTCAGCTGCTGATGCAACAGAAAAGCTATATAAGTCCAGAAACTGATAAATGGGTTACATTATGTTCAAGATGAGAAGAAGTCGAAAGCGCGCCTCAGAAGTCATATTTTCAAAGAAAACCATCAAGGTCTCGTGAGACTTTGGTTCAGTGAGCCGATAAAGGAGATACTCTTTTTCTTTGGCTTTTTTGGTGATGTCACCGCAGAAGGATATGCCAACAGTAACAAAACTGTAACTTGCCACGCCTCGGAAAAGTTAACCCTTTCAGGGACAGCGGTCACTACAGCGGACAGCTTATCATGTTATCAGGTTGCGGGTTATCATTATTGGTGCATGAAAGGGTTCATGCTTTTGCGATGGCAACGGTTTGATGAATTCATGTTATTTCCCAAGGGCGCCATTTCTTAGCGAATTTACAGCAATTTGGAAGTCAAGCGGACTCGCCTCGCGGTCTTTCCGAAGGATCGGGATGATTCGCTGGGGGTGGTGGTGGTGGTGGTGATGTCAGGTTGTTTCCTGTGCAAATCTGGTTGAATCGAGTTCAGGCTCGAGTCATGATGTCATCTTAACACCCTTTATGAACTGTAAAGGCAATGTTTAAATGTTCCTAATGCGTACAATCGTAAAGAATAGTTGATAATAATAATGTTCATTTCATTATAATCAATACAACTCAAATCATGTTGGAGAGGCAACCTGCAAGAAGGGGACGATCACATGATCAAACCCAGAAAACAGGTTCGTGCGCTTCCTGTGTATACCGCAAAACAGTGTTGATGACATGTTTTTTTTTTTAACTGAATTTGCTCCAAAAAAGTAATAAAATAGTCAATAAAAATAATAATAAAAAAATAGGTGCCAAATTTAAAAAAAATCTTTATGGCTTTTGTCTTCTGGCAAAAGTGGAATACATATACTGTAGATCATTTATTTATACAACTATGATATATGTAAACGCAAAACAAGCCTGTGGTCATCTTTGGAGGCTCTGTGTTAAAAATCAAAACAAAACAAAACTACGTTTTCGACATTTAAAGTGCCCACGAGTGCTATGTCACGCCTCGCCATTTGCCTGGGCGAGACAGAAAGTGCTTTTGCACTTTTTGAATCGGCGTGAATTACTCACAGATGTTTGCCAATTTCGGCAGGGCTCGGTCTTAATCACCTACAAAGAGCAACCGTTGACTATACTCCATTCCAGCACCCCTGCAAAAAAAAAAACCAAACCTATTTCACTTGACTCAAATCGACCAAGTGACGCTACGTTGCTGAAGACACCTTTTCTCTGCCGTCACTTCTTTCACACGCAGGCTGTGAGCCCCATCGCGGCGGAGGACGGTGTCCGCTTCATGCAGGCGAT